CGAATTGGGGGACGATCAGATGAAGCTGCTGGTGTTGAAGACGTGTTATCGGCGGTGACGTCGATATCGCTGCGAATTCACGGAGATTGCTTGCTGCAGATCGTGAGGACTTGCTACGATCGTGTTCAGAAGAATGGAGGCTGACTCGTCGACGGTTCCGATTCGCCCCATCGTGGTGGCTGAGCTGATGGATCCAATTGAGAAAGCCGATGCCGATGGCTCGATGACAATGTTCTTGCAGGGGTTTATCACCAAGAATATGTCCGACATTGATGGAGTTTTGAATCCTTCAACACCTACTAAGGTGTCACTGCGAGGGCACGACGGGGCGTTCGAGACCACCACAGTGGAGACCACGAACCCTGCCGATTTGCTGGATTCGACTGATAAGGATATGTTGGATGCCAAGTACTGGGAGATTAGTATGTACAAGACGGCATTGGAGGGCCGAAAAGGTAAATTGGCGAACGGAGAAGTGGATAGAGATGAGGATTTGGAGGTTCAGATTGGGAATAAGTTGAGAAGAGATGCGTTTTTGGTATTTAGAGCCCTGTGTAAGCTGTCTATGAAGACTCCGTTCGTCAAAAAAAAATTTTGGGCGGGAATTTTTTTTTTGAATTTTCAATTTTCACATGGATCCCTTAATAACACATAGCACCTAGTCATTGTTCACATAAATGTCACACCTCCAGTTAATGGGAGATTTAACAACCAAACTAACGAATGTATAAGATTGTCCCAAAATTAACATTTTCGGTATGATATTGGGATGAAAAAAATTTCATGTACCAAAAATTGAAAATCACAAAACTTGAAGATAGTAAACTAGGATTTACCCCAATTAAAACTAGTACAAGGTAAAAAAAGAACCGGGTAAATAATTACAAAGAAAATAAAAAACTAAGTAAAATGAGAGCAACAACCAAAAATACAACAAGAGACCCACACAAACTTAAAGTTGTAGAGCGTAGAAAACAAACAATAAAAAACCTTAATCTCATTTTATAATAGAATGTATGTCACATATTCATAATGCAGAGGTCATTCTGCTTTTAATGTGGAATCCATCAAGGGTTGAAAAACTTTAAAAATTCTTCTGAGATCTTATGGTCCGGTTAGTATTGGCAAAGATCTGGTTAGTATTGGCATGATTTGGACTAAGTGGGGCTTATTGGGCTATTGTGTATCTCTCTCTCTCTCTCTCTCTCTCTCTCTCTCTCTCTTCGCTTAACAGACATCACGAGGTGGTAGTATCTCATTAATTTAAGTTTCGAACTCATCAAAAATATATATCGTCTTCGTAGATGTTGTAGGTCAAATTATTAAAGACAACTACATCAAGGAATAGTTTTAATGAATTGTTCTTGTTCAATACTACTATTCTCAGAGGCATATCATCCCTTATATTGAAACTATAAATCAATATTGGATTATAAACAACACTTCTTGAAACCCTTGATAGCTTAAATAAGCACTGAAAATGTTTTGCTAATGTATAATCCTATGAAGCAAACGCATGATTTAAGTTAAGTTGACTACAAAAATGTGCTCTCGTTAATAGTTAAATTCCAATCTCGCTACTTTAGAATATATTAACTAGAATATTTGTTTGAATAAAAAAAATGTCGAAGTCTATGACATACTTTCTTCAATTTCATGGAACCTTATAAAAACTTACATTTTGTTGTGATCTAAATTTAATTGAAAGATAAAGTGAGAGAAAAGAGCTATAGAAAATTTTGTCCTTTTTTTCCTACATTATCCCTTTATTTATAGTAAATCTAGTAGACTTACTTTCCTTGTATGTAAAAAAGCCTAAGTTCTTCTAAATTATATAAGAACCATAAATACAATCTACTAGGAATTATACAATCACGTATGTGCTATAATTTAATTACAACACATTTTTAATTATTTGTAACCATTTTTCTCGCTGAATATATATTGATGAACTCATTGAAGAAAAAAAAAAGGGTAAAGTACAAAAAACTACCTCAACTATTGGTGTTACGACACTTTCATACCTCATCTTTTAAAATTGACAATGTCATACCTTATCTTATAAATTTGTGTCAATGTTATACCTTCCGTTAGCTTGGCGTGAATTTCTCAGTTAAATGCTGACGTGACTTGATTTAAGGCCCACTTTCTATTAAAAAAAATTAATAAAATACTATTAAAAACTAAAAAAAAAATCATTTAATATTTTTTTAAATGTTAAAATAATAAAGAAAAGTAAAAAACAAAAAACAAAACAAAACAACCATTTCCCTCCCTCCATCCCTCCCCTGCAAGCCTACAACCCAGAAAACAAAAGAAGAAAAAAAAAAAATCATCCCTTCCCACCCCCCCCTCTTGCGTCCTTCTTTCTTCTCCCCATCTCTTGCTACAAGCCTACAACCCATAAAACAAAAGAAAAAAAAAAAAAAAAAAAAAAAAAAAACTTCATCCCTTCTCACCCTCCTCCCCACCCCCCCCCCCCCCCCCCGGGGAGTCCTTCTTTCTTCTCCCACATCCCCCCCCCCCCCCCAAACCCCTCTTTTCCCCCACTTGAGCCCTTACCTGCAACCTAGAAAAAAAAAAATCCCAGTTCATCTTCCCCTCGCATCTACCCTTCGCGCCCACCCTTTGCTAAATCGACGAACAGGATCTGGATTTTTTTTCTTCTTCTTCTTCTTCCCCTCATTTTTCTTTCTGGGTTGGCAGGGGGTTGGATTTGTTTTGGGAGGGGACAAACTAGGTTTGTGTTTTTTTGTTTTTTTTTGGGGGTGGGGAGGGACGAACTGCGTTGGGCTTTTTTTTTTTTTTTTTTTTGTTCTTCTCCTTCTCCTTCTCCTTCTCCTTTGGGGGGGGGGGGGGTTGGGGGTTGATGGGTTTTCAAATTTTATTTTAATTTTTTTTTTGGTTGAATCACGCAGGAAAGAAGAAGATGGGGAGAGAGAGAAAGGGGGAGGGGATGGGACAAAAGGTTTTGATTTTTTTTGTTTTAACTTTTCTTTATTATTTTAATATTTAAAAATATTAATGATTTTTTTATTTTTTTATTTTTTAATAGAAAATGGGGTCTAGATCAAGCCACGTCAGCATTTAACTGACAAATTAATAGTAGGTTAACAGAAGGTATAACATTGTCACAAATTCGTAAGATGAGGTATGACATTGTCAATTTTAAAAGATGAGCTATGAAAGTGTCATGACACTAATAATTGTAGTAGTTTTTTGTACTTTATAAAAAAAAATACTAAAAATTCAAAGTGAAGACATGATGCACCAATGACGTATGTGCTTATGATTGTACTATCTTTCAAAGAGTAGTACGACAAAGGGACACCAAATTAATCCCATCAATTTAATTTCCTAAAAAGAAACGAGAAATATCAATGAAACTTTTTTAAAGTGAGATCTTTTATAATTTTTTTGTCATTTTATAATTTAATGTTAATTTTAATGTTAATAATATAAAACATTATATCAAAAACATATATAGGCAAAAAGTTCATAAAGAGTTTTACTTTTGAGAGATTCTTATTAGCATTATGATTGTAAAAACGTGAAAGTGCATAGTTGACTCAAATTGAAATAAGTATGAACTTGATTTACTATGTAGAGAGGTTTTTTTTTTTTTTTTTTCTTTTCTTTTCTTCTCTTGTCAAATGATAGATTTTTGTTAGATTAACCACTGATAGTGGCAAAGCCAAGAATTGTGGAGTGGAGGGGCAGAAGTTTGTGAGTCTTGGAGCTTTGATTTTTTGAGTGCGAAGTACCCTTGTTGGACTAAGTGGAATCCTACGTGAACATTTGAACTTACTTCGTATTTGGTCTCCTTTCTTGCCATAATCTTATGGTATTCGTCAACTCAAACGTGTGAGTTCAAGTATAATAGAATTTAGAGTTAAAACAGAAAAACTTATGAAAAAAAATGTTAAGGAGATCAACTCGCTCAAAAGCAAGTCCTAACAACTCACTTGACACTTGTAGTCCTTGCTTCTTACCATTAACATTGTAGTTTTGGGCACACAAGAACTTTAAAAATATATTAATTATTTGTATGCCTCTCTCTCCCTCATCGTCTCCACTACCCGAATTAGGAAGAACTTAGAAGCCAGAGAAAAAGCCTTTAATTAAACTACCATTCACAACCTCACTTCCTTACCCAGATGCTTTATCTTTCTTGACCATCTTATTTTATATATTTTTTTTTGTTAGAAATTCTACAATTAAAATGGAATTTTAATTGTTTAAACTACAAAATAGAATCTCATCTAAAAATCTACAGAAGTTGGTCCTCCCATGGCAGCCCATCCCCCATTCAATATCTCATTACGTGGAGTTGTGTGTACAGTAGGGACGAGTTATCCCCAGCGATTTAGTTTTTTAATTTATTCTTTTTGAAACAAAACGATGTCATTTACCCCGTTTTCATTTAAATTTTTCGTTTTTTCCCAGCCAAAAGGATGTTGTTTGGCTTGGGTTTTTTGAAAAAAAAAAAATTTGAATGCAGCAGCGCCGAAGAACCGCTGCAGAAAACCAGCATAGTAGCTGAGCACCAGATCAGCAAGACCAGAGGAGAGGTGGAAACCTGAGTTGTAAGAAGGATTTCAAATGAGCGGAGGGGCGGCCTGCCCCTCGTTGCCCTTACTGTGGCTTTGTCAGTGGCCACTGACGAAGTTCAAACCTAAACCGTCACATAAAATTTAACTCCTTTCAATCACTGTAATAAAAGATCACTAAGTAGAAAGTTGACTCATACACTTATACACGATTTAATGACCATACTTAGTGTCACTATCATTGTTGTTCACAAAACATCATTAGAAGAAAGTGCATCTCAGTAGTCCTATCAAGATCATGGAATCCACTCAATGGTCCACGAGCAACGCAAAATATCAAGTTCGTTCGTTTGTTTTTGTTTTTTATTTTTTTGTGTCAAACAAGAAATTTTTTTATTATATTAAAGGTTAAATTAAGAAGCTAGAATCCCTCTTTCTCTTCATCCAACACACAAACAATCAAATAAACACACAAAAACAAAAAAGGGCAAGAAAGCAAGCAACCCACACTCCACTCCCCCACAGTGACACAGCCACCGGACCCAAAACCCTGTAGAACACACACAATGCCATTTCAGCAATGACCACCAAACCCACCACCACCACCACCACCACCTCTCACCACCAATGTCTTCCTCTCCTCCTCCTCCTCCTCCGCCTGATGAAACCACCACCACCTCCAGTCTCACCCATCTGATCGACTCCGAGCCCAACCACATGCCCTCCCCTTCCTACATCTCCATGTTCCGCGACCGTACGATCGACCTCACCGCCCGCCAGGACTCCATCAACTGGATCTTAAAAGTCCACACCCACTACCGCTTCTCCCCCCTCACCGCCTTCCTCTCCGTCAACTACTTCGACCGCTTTCTCTCCTCCCACTCCCTCCCGGTAACATACTTTCCCCAGGACAAAAAAAAAAAAAAAAACTCGCATTTTCCGGGAAAAATTCAATGCTGACGTGTCTGACCCCTTACTTTTTAATACATTTTATTTTTTGTTGCAGCGACACAGCGGGTCGTGGCCGTTTCAGCTGCTGTCCGTCGCCTGTTTGTCTTTAGCCGCGAAAATGGAGGAGCCGAACGTCCCGTTCATCCTGGACCTCCAGATCTTCGAGCCCAAGTTCGTCTTCGAGCCCAAAACGATCCAGCGGATGGAGCTCCGGGTCATGGGTATTCTCAATTGGAGGCTCCGATCCGTCACCCCCTTCGATTTCCTCCCCCATTTCGTCTCCAATCTCCCCTCTTCTTCCTCTCTCCTCGCAGCCTCCTCCAATTTAGTTCTCAGCACCATTCGTGGTATTTTTACTGATCCACTACCCGATTAAAAAAACCCATATTTTTATTAAAGGATTTTTGGGGTTTAATTTTGGTTTTTGATGTTCTCAGTGATTGACTTCTTGGGTTTTTCGCCTTCGACGGTTGCCGCCGCGGCTGTGCTCTGCGCCGCCGGTGCAAGCGTTGATTTTGCGGCGGATGGAGATCGCCACGTGGCGCCCTTTTTCCACGAGAGAGTGAGCCAAGTATAGCGTTTACCGCGGGTGTTTTTGCAATTTATGTTTTTTCAGGGCTGTTCTGTGAATAATTAAAATTTTGTTTTAAGTCAGAATCGAAGAGTTGAGAAACATAGAAACCTTTCGTGGTAATATTTTATTTATTGGAGACAGGAAAGGGTGAGAAGCTGTCGCCAACTCATGGACGAGTACCTGCTTGACATGTGTCCCTCTTCCGGCCCTAAACGGCCGAGTACCGGATCGGCGCCGTTGGCTCCAGCCAGCCCAATCGGCGTGCTCGACGCGGCTTCTTGTGCAAGCTGCGACACTCGCTCCGAAAATCCTGGATCTACCATACAAGCAGAGCGGCCAACCAAGCAGGCTCCGACCTCTCTGCAGCCACCGATGTACAGCCGCCGTAGATATTGCCGGAGAATTCAAGGAGCCGCCTGTTTAATTAATCCCTGAAGCTCTCTAATTTTTGTTCTTATATTTTTTATGGATGACATTTTTACTATAAGATGGACGGTCGGAATTATAGAGTTGATCATTTATAATAATAAGTTATATATATTGAGAATTATGACTTTTATTTTAGTTTGGTAAGTCAAAATTTCGTTATTTAATACTACGGTGTAATGATATTTCTTTTAAAGTGAGAGATTTTAGGTTTGAATTTTGTCAAATGTGAGTTTGAATTATATTATTGCTAGCTTATTGTGAAGCTAACCTTACTTTTTTTTCTTAAAGTAGATAATATCGTTTATTCAAAAAATAAGTTAAAATCCCTACTTCAGAACAAATTTTTTAACCAGCAGAGATTGAACTATGTAGGAGAGAAATTGAAGTAGGGAAGCGGAGTTGAGGGTAAACAGTTGAGATTGAACCATCTTATATTTTGATCTGACGGGATTCACACTAGTTAATCTTGCGAAGCGTAAAAAACTATAACATGTAACACTACTGAAAATTTCCTTCCAATAAAAAACAGGTACACTGTCATACCCAATTCACATTGTTAAATTGAGGGGTTTAGGAGTCTAAAGATGTTTCAGTTATTAATATTTCCGATGCACTTACACTTCACTTAAATCATGTCTGCATGGAAACCCAGCTTTGCCCATAACGTAACGTTACGTATTATCCATGCTACGAACTACGTGAGGTTCCCGCACGTGTCCGACATACAGTTCAATTTGAATGGAAGTATAAGTAAAAGTGGAGGGTAGAATAGTAATTGAAATATTTAAGAAAGGACGAAGATCTTGTGGTTGGCGTGCCGGGGTGTTTTGGCGGGAATGACGTGCGGTGACGGCTTGAGGGGTGGGTGTGCGCCACGTAGAGAGGGAATTTGGAGGGAAAATTTCTCAGTGTGGGGTCGGGGGTGGGGGGATGTGGGAGACAGAGGGATGAGGTGAATCAGAGCCGTCCACGTGTAAGGAGATAAGGGGTTGAAGAGTAGTAAGTGTGACTAGTGAGAGGCAAAGATTTGATTTGATGGCTGGAGGAATCCATAATAAGGTCGCATCGGGAGCTCAAATTTATTTATAATATCGATATCTTCTATGACCTAGCAAATAGGAGCCAGCAAGAAACTACTAAAGAAATGGATTTGTATTTAACATTTTCTTCTCAAATTCGCTTTTAGAAGAATACTATTAGACCGTAATACTAAGTAGCTTTTTGAAAAATTTTATATACATCGTTCTCTAAATTTCAAGGTTTTGCTACTATATTCCTTGATTTTAATTGAACCGAAATATATAGGGTAAATAATTACAATGGAAGTATATGTTTTATATATTGAACTCTCATATGTTTATTTGACGTTATACTAATACATATATGCAATACATTATGGTAGATTTTCGTTTTAAGTTTTAAGTTTATTTTATGTTTGTGATTTAACATTTCTTTTCTCATCATCTTGCATTCTAGATAAAAGACTAACTTATTCAATGTGAAGTAAAATGACTAAAAAACGTGTCAATGTGCTAATCATATGAAGCCAATCAACTTTGGCTGTCTTCGTCTCTCTTTCTTCATACCTAATGTACGTAGTAAGGTCTTCACCAACCGAAGGATCCAGAGGGTCAGATGGTCGAAAATAATCTTAAAATCGTCTTTAATCGAGGGCCAAGCCAAAGGACTTGTGAGCCCCACTGGACAAAAAAGGGCCAAAAGGCCAACTGACCAGCCCAGAGCAGGGCTAAAAAATTTGAATCTCAATAGCTAACTGACGTCAGCTTGCTATTATTTTTGAAATTTTTTTTTATAGTTTTTTTTTTTGGGCCAAAAATTTAAAAAGAATATTTAATTAATAAATTATGTTTGACCCTATAACTCTTTGGTCCTCGGTTGGAGATCGATTTATTGTGATAGGGCTAAAACGAGCCATATGGCACTCGGTTGGAGATGGTAAGAAATATGGCCCTACACTGTTCATTAAATTATTAATTTCTTGGAAGGCCAGAGGGCTAAAACAAGCTCTCTGGCCAGCCTTCAGTTGAAGATGGCCTAATATAATTCTTTTTCATTTTAATTCAAATAGTGCATTTTTCGAACGAAAGAACTTGTCTCAAATTTATGGTTTTAATTTTTAATTTACAAAGTAGAAGTGAGACACTTGTCATGAAAAGATCTTTAATTTACCCTTTGTAACATGATAATAAATGAAAATTTCAATACTAACTTGATCATCTGATTCAGTTTTTCTTAAGTTCGATCCTAAATTATTTATAGTAACTCCCATAATATCTCCATTATGCAATAATGCAAAACTAAAACATATCTTGGCTTACCCAAGGGAAATCTTTTGTGTTTACTTGATTAAAGCCCTTGCCTAAAGCTTTTGAATTATTTTGGCCTTTTTGTGGGGCTAAGATCAACTAATACATAACAAATGGGACAATTGTATCTCATAATTACTTTAACAAAATAAGTAATTAATAATAAAATAAAATTAGTAACTGAGGGAGGAACCCCACTTCCAGGCTGTATGGAAAGTTGGATATGGGACCCAAATGAAGTTCAAAATTATCCAACAGTGCAGGAAACCACAATTAAGTGGAAGTATATGCATGTAATGTATTACTCTTGAGGTCGAGCTTTCTGTGTACATGTGAAATCTGGGCTTGAGACAAGGAATGAGGCCCCCGCAGGCCCACAGATAGTGCAGTAATGGTCCTTCGTATATAGTAATGGCCACTCCACAGTCCACAGGCCAATGCGAGAGAGCGAGAGAGAGAGAGAGGGGGAGAGAGCGAGGGCAGTGACCATGGCGGATCCATATAGGGACCAAGGTGGTCTTACGATCATTCGGAAGTCAGAAAAACGCCTATGAAAATTCTTCGGGAACCCTCCAAATATTACAATAGGGAGGACAAATTCAATCCTAGGACTATATGGGCTACGCCTAGGAAATATGTTTTGTTAAATGACATAGTTATGGATGGACCGTGGTACAATCAAATCCTGGTGCAGTGCATCCATGGACCATGGAGGAGGTAGAGGAGTTGCAGCTTTCCCGAGAGGAAGAAGGCTGAAACTCCTTTTTTTCCTTCTTTTATCTGCTACATAGGCCTACCATTGCTACTAAAATATTGCTTTTAAAAAGCACTTTCTCATCTACTATTCTATTTCTTATTATTTTATTTTTAATTTTTATAATCTCTATTTGATTTTTTTTTTGTTTTTTTTGTTAAATCTCTATTAGGTGAAATGGTCAAAGGTGCAGTTTTTATTTTAAATCCTATTTTATGTGCTAAGAATCCCGTATTTTGTAAATCACATATAAATCATTGTTTTTCATAGAAATTAAATTTCCTTGAATTGTATACTCTATCTCTACTAATACAATAATACTATATGATCTTAACAGGAACCATTACCTTTTAACAAAAGAAAATCTTTTTTTTCTTTTTCAGTAAAATTGTAAAAAGTTATCAAAGTATTTACAAATTTTTTTTGAACAATCGATATTATATACATTAAGGGAGAGGGGGTGGTCTTAGCCTCACAATGGGCTAGCAATAATGTGATTCAAATTTGCTTTTGGCGAGAATTGAATCTAAAACATCTCACTTACAAGTGAATAGGAATATATACAACTAGACCGTATTACTAAGTGGTAAGTATTTACAAATTAAAAGAAGGGATTTTATTCATGATGACCTAGCTTTGTTTTTACCATGATTTATGAATGAAAAATATTATTATTTAGTTTTTGATAGTTTATCGTTTATTTATTTTTTTTTGGATGTTTTACATTGGGTGATTAGGACTACTCAAGGTGAGAATCCTAGATCCAAACACTGGCAGTAACCCTGCAATTGTAGGACACAGGGCCCTCCTCCAAACTCCGCAGGGAAATGGAATGATGCCAATGCATGAGCCAAAACGGCATTAACAGCCTTCACGTTGTATTCAAGCTCCTCTCACTCACCCACCACTTGTACAGTACGTAACCTCTCTCTCTCTCTCTCTCGTGCATGAGACGAGACCTAGTGTTTCAGCTGCATATCTGTCCCATCAATGTGTTCTTGGGGTTTTGCAGGCAGGCTTGGGTTAATTATGGAGTGTGATATTTACACACCCCTTTTTACTTCTTACACATCTTTCTAATTTTCGATCGCCGGATCGGATGAATTGAAGATGATCAACAGACAAAAATTAACAAGGAGTGTATGAGAAGTAAAAAAGGTATGTGAATAGCACACCCCTTAATTATTTGTTTTGGTGGTCATTACATATCAATACAATCTATGGACTATCAACATCCCGTTGCTAGTTAGTAATTGTGTGTATGTCTGCATCTTCTTGGGTTTGCGCCCTTGTATATGTTTCTCTTGTACCCCTTTTTTTTTTTTTTTTTTTTTTTAGTTTTATCTTTTGAGTCATCTTACCTATCTCACTCTTTCGTCGGGTACAAGGTTTTGAGGTAAACTTCAAATAAAAATAAATTAGTGGCAAACCGTGTGTTAAGTAAATAATATCGATCTAGGTGTTTTTGCATTTGTGATGAATGAGAACTGGAACTTGGAGCATGTGATTTCACAACTCTGTCTCATACTCGCCCTTTTACCATTAGGTTTAGGTCACCCTTGTGTACTTTTCTTTTACAATTACTTGTCGTAACATTTACACCTTAGAGTTTATAATTGTTAAAGTTTAAGAGAGATGGGTCGCGGGAATTACATTAGTCGACCGACCGTTCATTAGATTTTGACCCGCTTGTGATGCTTGTTGTTCCATAAAAGGTGCTTGGAATTCCATGTATGTTAAGATGTCGGTGATCATCGGCAAGCTCTATATCGGAGGAGACTTCCCCCTGAGTAATACATTTCGGATTCTTTGAAAACCACATCCATTGTGACATGCATCTTCTGTGTAGCCGGAACATGGCTCCAGTATCCCCTCTGATCAAGACCATAGCCCATGAATGCCCACTTCAATTCATTGCATGGATCCAATTTACTTCTTTGGTGCTTGTGAATATAGACGACGACTACACACCCAAACACCCAAGGCTCAAGAATATTTGATGTGGAACTTCCAAGTGTTTATGAAGTGTCTGAATTA